TGAACAGTTCCTCATCTTCCATCTTTAATGCAGGCTCATCGCCTCTTTATCTGCATCCCCCTCCGTCTCTGCACTTTTCCTCTGTCTGTGCTTTAGTCTCATTCCGTCCATCCTGCTCTCTGTTTCTCTCTCTGCTCTCCCAGTTAATCAGAGCTGATTGGGAGCTGAGAGGAACTCCCCAGTGGATCAATGCCTCTAAATGATCTGCTCAAGGTTCCCTTTTAGAAGCTGCAAAGCGTGCTCTGATAGAGCACCGAAGCATGAATACACTCATTTCACATCTAACTCACTTCCTAATTTGTCCTCTGGGAGAGTGATTGGACTGCCATCATTGGGATAATTTGTCCCAAAGCTAAATATCCCACCAGCCAAGAGTGTAAAAGCTAACACGTCTTTGTTTCAGGCAATCAATTACTGACAAAGTGAGATGAAAAATGAAGTTGTGAAAACCCAGCATGAAGGGTTGCACCAAAACGAGCTTTATTTAACTGAAGACGTTTTCCTGCGTGTCACATTTGTCGAGCTTCGAGAAACAAGATTTGATAATGTGCCACAGCTGAATTTCAAATGTATTCAATGCGGTGCATTTGAAGTTAAATTGATCTTGTAGCCACGCAGAGCGCTGCTGCTGATAACGGATCTGTCCACGTCCACCAGGACTCCTACACAGATTATATTTAAACTCTTTAAATACTTAGAATTTTCTCAAAGTCAAACTGAGTAAATGTTGCAAAACACAAAGATTGTCAAGTCATTCCTTTTGAGATGCATTATTCATGAGAAGCCAGTAAATAAAACATGTTAAACATAAAATATGAATTTATAGTTTGTGAGGATTGTGTTGTGTGTGTCTCCCCCTTGTGGCCGGTCCTGGTCCTGCTCCTCAATGTTTGTTCAGCCCCTGCCTCCTCCACCTGTTGTCCTCCCCGGGTGTCATTTGTCCATAATTAACGTCCCTTCTTAACTTTGCGTCTCGTCTCTTGTCCCGTGTCTCGTCTCGTGTGGCTGCTTCTGTCCTCCCCGTGTCACCTCGTCCATGTATGTACGTTCTGACGCCTCTTTTGTTCTTTTTAATACATTTTATTGCTTTGCAAAATGTTGTGCAACCAAAAATTCATCCAGTTCTTCAAAAAATAACAAAAACCGCAGTAATCGTATGAATGGAGGCGAAACTCAAAGACCATTTCTTTCCTTCTCTCTGATGGACGCCTTCAAATTCGTCCGTGCATCCATCAATAACTTTTTGAAACGGAACATTAACGCCTGCATCGTTGAACTGGACCCGACGTCCTCCGTGGACTGAAAACTTTATTTAACATCATCTGTCTCCAGCGTGGGAGACAGACGCTCAATCATTTGGCGCTGACTCGTCACAAAACTAATGTCTAATTTCTTTAATTACTAAACTCTGAAACTAATTTAAAAGTAATTTTGTTGTACTTCACTGTGCAATGACAATCTGATTCTGAAAAACCTCCACCAGAACTTACAAAGTTACCACACAGTGTTTTATCACTAACAGAAGGTGGATGTTAAAATACAGCTGGACACAAACTGCAGTTTAATTATTAATTGGATCATGGGAGTATGGGGTACCGGGCCCTTTGATACGGGCTGTTAGGTCCCTGTATGACCGGTGTCAGAGCCTGGTCCACATCGCCGGCAGTAAGTCGGGCTCGTTCCCGGTGAGAGTTGGACTCTGCCAAGGTTGCCCTTTGTCACGATTCTGTTCATAACTTTTATGGACAGAATTTGTAGGCGCAGCCAAGGTGTTGAGGGATCTGTTTTGGTGGCCTTAGGAATGCATCTGTGCTTTTTGCAGATGATGTGGTCTTATTGGCTTCATCAGGTCGTGATCTACAGCTTTCGCTGGAGCGGTTTGCAGCCGAATGCAACACGGCCAGGATGAAGATCAGTTCCTCCAAATCCGAGGCCATGGTCTTGAGGTGGAAAAGGGTAGAGTGCCCTCTTCGGGTCAGGGAGGAGGTCCTGCTCCAAGTGGAGGAGTTCAAGTATCTTGGGGTCTTGTTCACGTCAGCCTCGAGTCCTGCTGGAACTTTCCGGTCCAAAATCGCCAAATTAATGGATATTCCACTGCACTGATCCATGTTATGAGCCTTCTTCAAGGTCGATCCAAACATGCTGTTGAGTCCTAGGAGCCGCAGGTGGCCTACGATTCTCACAAATCACCTCCATCTTACGGTTTAGCTCATAAATCAACTGATTTTGAGTCCTCATAGCACGAACCAAACTTCACACTGACTCGGAAGCTTTATCATGGCCGAAACTGCTGCCCAAGTCTTCTTCAAAAGTCGATAAAACAGAGCCCCGCTGATGCCAAAGAGCAGAACCCCTGCTGTCATAATCCAAATACATAAAAGTCTTCAGCATCCTCCTGAGACACATCAGCTGATCTCTGATGTGCCTCTCAGCGTGAGTCTCAGCCGGACTAGAGGGCTCTCCAGGACCTTGTCGTTTTGTTGAAAAGATTTTGTCGATTGCGTTGAAAGTCCAGCTCATCAGATCATTAATAGTATTTTTTGTTCAGAAGATGTGTACCAGGAGCTTGGTATGGTATAAAGTTTATTCATTTTAAAAAAGTACAAAACAATTCCATAACAATATAAAAAGATTCAAGAGATTTAAAATGAAAGGCAGCAGAAAGAATAAAAAATCTTATTATATCTGCCCCTTTTTTCAAACAATTATTTCAGACATAATAATTTTCAAGTAACTGTACAAAGTGAATAACTTTCTAATTTTTCTAATTCTAATACAAAACACACACTAAGCTACTTCATATATTTTTTTTAACAATTCAGTTTTGATCTTTTTCTTAAATGTTCACATTGACTTGTCATTTTTCACATCACTCTCTAGAACATTCCACAATCCAACTCCTTGGATTGAGGTAGACCTTCCCTTCAGACTAGTTCTGAATTTTGGTTTGACAAATATCTCTCTCCCCTTAAGATTATAACAACTTTGTCTTTTAACAACATTTCTTTGGATATTTAATGGTAATGTGTTATTTTGAGCTCTATACATAACTGATAAAATACTATAATCTACCAAATCATGGAACTTCAATAAGTTCAGTTGATAAAATAATGTGCTTGATGGGTGACTGTAATGCTTTCTGGTGATAATTCTTACAGCTCTTTTCTGTAAAATAAAAATAGGTTTTGTAAATGTTTTACATGCTTTCCCCCAAACATCAATGCAATAGATTAAATGTGGAACAATGATTGTGTTATACAACATGTACAGAGCTTTATCATTTAATAATTCCCTGACTTTGTATAGTACTGCAATAGATTTAGATATTTTTGTTCTTACAGAATTGATGTGATTTTTCCATGTTAGCTGTTCATCAATGATTACACCCAAAAATTTCATCTCATTAACTCTACAAATCTCAACACCCTCAATTTTAAATGGATCATCAACAGTTCTCCTTTTGTTACTAAATATCATGTATTTAGTTTTATCTAAATTTAATGATAATTTATTGAGTTTAAACCAAGTTTGTATTTTATCAAATTCTGTCTTCATCAATTCCAACATCCGTTTTACATCTTTACCCAAACAAAAAAATGTGGAGTCATCTGCAAAAAGGACACATTTGAGGAGTCCTGATACATTCACTAAGTCATCCACATATAAAATAAATAACTTTGGTCCAAGTACAGAGCCTTGAGGAACTCCACAAGTGATATTGCACAGGTCAGATCTTACACCATTTATTTGTACAAACTGTTTCCTATCTTTTAAATAGCTAGATACCCAGTGTAATGCTGGTCCTCTTATACCATATTTATTTAATTTTTCAAGGAGAATAGTGTGGTCAATAGTATCGAAAGCTTTTTTTAAATCAACAAAAATACTAACACAATATTGTTTTTGATCGACAGCAGTAGTTATTTGTTCCATTATTTCCATGAGAGCCATCGATGTAGAGTTTTTTGCTCTAAACCCATACTGACTGCTACTTAGAATGTTTTGTTTAGTAATAAATTTATCTAATCTGGTCACAAATAGTTTTTCTAGAATTTTTGAGAACTGTGGTAATAAGGATATTGGTCTATAATTATTGAACACACATTTATCACCATTTTTAAAGAGAGGAACTACCTTAGCTACTTTCATATTGTCTGGAAATATTCCTTTTGAAAAGGATAAATTACAAATATATGTAAACGGCTCGATAACATAACTCATTATGTCCTTTACAAACATCATATCCATGTCCACCCAGTCTTTTGATCTCTTATCTGTAAGATTTTTTACAACATTCATTATTTCTTCTTTGTCAGTTCCATTAAGAAAAATACTGTTGTCACAACTTATAACTGAATGGTTCACATTATTGTCTACTTTTGGTATTTTAGCTTCAAACACACGGAGAGCAGAGCAGGAGGAAGAGGAGAACAGGGAGAGCAGGAGTAGAAAGCTCAGTGGAGCTCATTTCAGCTCATTCTGTTTCCTTCTGGTAGTTTAAGCTTCTTTCTACATTTTCAGCTACTTTCAGCTTTTTTTATCTAATTTTCCTAATTGTTGTGTTAATTTTTGCTTATTTAAACCCAAGTCAGTAAATGTGTGTTTTTCTTCTTTCTTCTAGTACGTTAGGCTTGTTCTTCCATGTCAGCTGTTTCAGCATGTTTTTAGCTTATTTCAGCTGTTTTTCAGCAGGTTCTTCTGCAACAAGCATTCACACTGCAGTTTTGCAGGAAATGTAACTCCATTGTGTTCATGTTGCACATGCTGGTGTCAGGTGGAAGCTCGTCCCAGTTGTTGTTCGGATCATTGTACAGAAATGCAACAACAAGCAGGAAGTGAATATTCAGTTTTTCAGAAAAGGCTTGTTTGTTCCCTCGCATCATGTCCGTCACAATCAAAGTGAAGTGAAAAGTCCTGGGCGCCAGGTCCACGGGCACTCCTGAGATGGTCTGTGGTTGTTTTTTATTCATGAAGATCTTTTTGTATTTGGTGTCTTGCAGGTTCTGGCATGGAGAATACAGAGTGGCGGTGAACATCAACGACTACCTGGACATTTACTGTCCGTTCTACGAGGGCCTCCCGTCCCACGGCCGCATGGAGCGCTACATCCTGTTCATGGTCAACCACGAGGGCTACACTTCGTGCCAGCACAGGATGCGTGGCTTCAAACGCTGGGAATGCAACCGTCCCACTGGTCCAGACGGGCCGCTGCGCTTCTCTGAGAAGTTCCAGCTCTTCACTCCCTTCTCGCTGGGCTTCGAGTTCAGGCCCGGCCACGAGTACTACTACATCTGTAGGTGCCGCTGAGTGGAGTGTGTGTTTGCAGTTCCTACATTCTTTTACAACCGGTGTCAACATGCAGTCGGCAGAAGCTCATGCCGTCAGACACAGCCGGGCACCAGCCGCGAACAAACAGCCCTCCTCTCCACAGCCCCCCCACCTCACCAGCTCAAAGTGGGCTCTCACTGGGCACTTCGTAATCACTTCTGTATTGATGTTCTGTCTCACTGCAGCATCATGTGTTAGTGTCACAAATCAATGTTGCCCCCCTGTGAAGGTTTTTGTTTTTTTTGGAGCAGAGTTGCGACACAGTCACTGAAGCAGAACCCACAGGGCCAAGACGAGCTTCATTTCACATTTCAAACCAAAAGGATGAGCCACCTTTTCACATTTCGACACTTGGGTTCAAGATCACTGGCTTATCCTGAAAAAGAATGTTAAAATGATTTTCTGTACCTTTTTGCGTCGAGCGTAAATGTTCCTGCACATGTAGGAAGGGACACTTTCTGTAAGAGGTTCCTAAAACACAAGAAATGAAAAGGTCCAACATTGTTGGAAGCTTTGGGTCGCCCGCTGCCTCCTCTACTAGAAGTAAAAGATCATCTTTAGATGAGAAGAGAATGTCACAGCTGTTCTGGTCCAACCTTGTGAATCGTGCTTTATTGCAAGACATTGTGAGATGTGCTGGTAGTCATGTGTGCTTTGTTTAGGATGACTCTCAGCTACCGCCTTTTCAAAACCCCTTCGTATTTGTAAACCTGCTGAGCTTCAGCCACTTCTGTCTTTTCCAGCTTTGATTCGTTGCAGCAGCTGGAGGCTGCTGACCACAGACACGCTGGATTTCACATGTTTATTTAAAGCTTGCTTTCTGGGGAGTGGCGGTGCAGAGGTTAGAGAAGGTGGGTCTGTGACTGGAAGGTCGCCGGTTCAACTCCCCAGACCAACATCATCAAAATGTGAGTGGGAAAAGTCAAGCCCCCACACCTGCCTCTGCCCCACTCAGGGCCCTTGAGCAAGGCCCTTAACTCCCACCATCTGCTGCTCTGGCGCCCTACGTAGCAGCTCTCTGCTCCACACAGAGGCTGTGGTGGCTCGGTGTCTGTGGCTGAGTCAGGAAGAACGTCTGACGTCAGAACGATTGTCAAAGCTCCATGCGAGTTAGTTCACTGTGGTGACCCCTGAAGAAGGAGCAGCCGAAATAAAACAAAGATTTACAGGTGCAGGTCATAAAATGAGAATATGATAAAAAAAAACAGTTGATTTCAGTAATTCCATTCAAAAAGTGAAACTTGTATATTATATTCTATCATTACACACAGACTGATATATTTTAAATGTGTATTTCTTTTAATGCTGATGATTATAACTAACAACTAATGAAAACACAAAATTCAGTATCTCAGAAAATTAGAATGTTGTGAACAGGTTCAATATTGAAGACACCTGGTGCCACAATCTAATCACCTAATTAACTGAAAACACCTGCAAAGGCCTTTAAATGGTCTCAGTCTGGTTCTGTAGCTACACAATCATGGAGAAGACTGCTGACTTGACAGTTGCCCAAAAGACGACCACTGACACCTGCACAAGGAGGACAAGACACATGAGGTCATTGCTAAAGAGGCTGGCTGTTCATAGAGCTCTGTGTCCAAGCACATTAACAGAGAGGTGAAGGGAAGGAAACCATGTGGTTAAAAAAGTGTACAAGCAATAGGGATAACTGCACCCTGGAGAGGATGGTGAAACAAAACCCATTCCAAAATGTGGGAGGAGAGATTCACAAAGAATGGACTGCAGCTGGAGTCAGTGCCTCAAGAACCACCACACTCAGACGTATGCAAGACATGGGGTCCAGCTGTTGCATTCCTTGTGTCAAGCCACTCTTGAACAAGAGACAGCGTCAGAAGTGTCTCACCTGGGACTGTTGCTGAGTGGTCCAAAGTTTTGTTCTCTGGTGAAAG